AGACTTAGAGTCATTATTTTGCAGTTTTAAGAAAAGCGAGCCTAGTCACGCTCATGGTACACCTACAGACTTGAAACCCTCCTGCTCTCTACAGTAGCTTAGAAGGCTTTGAAAAGGCCACTGACTTTCGGAACTTCAATTTGAAAGGAAAATAATGAAATAGCGAGGCTTTTTGTTCCCTTTTACCCTACTTGACTCTTTGACAATAGTACACCGTTTTATACATGTGTGCTGCCAGGTCTTCTGGGAGTCGTGGTGTAATTAATGAGGCTTTAAAACTGACTGAAAGACACGATACATTGCGCAAGCGGTTGTCTTCTGATTCCGAAGTCTGTCTTAGACATGGGAAAATAAAACCTTGACTCCCAGGAGTTGCTGGACTTAGAGATGGCTTACCTTTCATTGGCTCTGCTAATTTTTATGCCAGGTGTGCTTTGTTACTACCTGATTTACAGGACACCCCAGAGCCGGCCCGTCACTATCATAGGTGGTGAGAAGCCTATCGTTAGTCCAGGTCAAGGCTTCCAAGTCCACAGATCACAGGTGGACTGGTAAATCCAGCTCACCCGCTCTCTGTTTGCCAAACTACCTGTCCACTAACATGGTGCCACTCAAGAATATGTCCCTGGGCCAGTAGAAGTCTTGTTATATATCCATAGGCGAGGCTACACTATTCATTTCACTTCATCTAATCTTTTTGTGTGCCTTGAATGTGCTAGAGGCTTCTGTTAGATGGCTTTAATTAGATGTTCAAACCCACTTGATGGAGTGAGTCTCGTTTGCTCTGCTTATAGGTGGTGGAAACAGGAGCACATACGAGTAAAATGAATTATGTCTGCCATACGCTTAGATGCTTGGTATCCGCTCTATAATGGTGGTGTGTGTCTTTGCTTAAATAAGGAATTGGAAGCTCAGGAAGGTTAAATATCTTATTGGGCTCATCTAAATTGTAAATGACAAACCCAGGACACCCTCCCAGGCCTCTCCTTCTGGTCCCAGTACTCATGTATATTGATCAGGGTCAAAATGGACAAAGACAAAGGAAGTTCCTTGAGGGGACATCTTTTCGGTATTCCTTCTCTTGTATATACACTACTGAATAGTCATGATCCTAGCCCTGCCTGGAGTCTTAATCAGAGTTTTAAAGTGTTAAGTGAAGCTACGGGCAGTTGTCAAAGCAATTGTGCAAAATAAAACTGACGCATTGGCTTATACAAGCTTACCGTAATGAGAGCGTTAGCGGTGACTAGGAGATAGTTGGAGAGGCCCCACCAGGACCCTCTGTGTTTTCAGCATTGTGCAGTCTATGTATTGGGAGAATATTAATGGCATTTTCAAGGCCAGTTGGGTCCATTCTTTCTTGATAAATGTAGGTAGCTAGATATGATCTGTTGTTACTGGTCCAAGGTCACAGTAAAGCTTCCAGCAGCAAAAAACACAAAGCCAGTGCTTTGTCAGGAGAGCTGAGCTGGGCTGCTTCCTTTATGAGCCACTTTGCATTCGAGTCAAGCCAGGTCCTTGTCACGGAGAGACCAGTATGCATGTGATACTCTGACCTCTGTAGCATGTACGAGAAGGGGGCAGTGCTCCCCTATGTCACTTAAGCCTTCAGTGAATTATTTCTCAGAATCCTGGGTGTTTGATTTTTTATAATCCCCTCCACCCACATACCTCCCACAGACAGGCAGGCAGACAGACAGAAAGACATACAGACAGATGATTTTCTGGATATGAATGATAGATGCCAAAACCTACACACTGGCCATTACGAATTCTGTAGATGATGATGCTCTTAGAAAAAGATAGCCCCGCCCACCTCTAAGGATGCTGCTTGGGATCTCGAGTAAGTGTGACAAAGGTGTGTCTTCCTGCAGAGTTGAAGCTGTGATATCCTCACAGGCTTGTCCTCAGTGTCTAGCAGCCCAGGCCACTGTCACCCTAAGGGGTGTCTCAGAGTCACAGAGGGCCTTGTCACTGCCGTCCCACACTGTGCCCATCATTAAGACTCACTGCTCGAAGAAGGCTCTGTTTGTTTAATTGTGTGTGTGTCACAGGAATTGAAGACAAGAAAGTGGTAGCACACTTATCACAAACCAGCAATTTTCTCAGATCATACAAGATACTTATGTACCTAATCAAAGATAATGTATCTCCTGTAACTATAGTTACAAGACGTTAAAACTTTACAACTGTTTTCCAGCATTGTGTGTGTGTATGTGTGTGCGTGTTTAAAGGACCCTCTACCTAGACACTGATACCACGTACCCGCGTAGTATTTAGTAAATGGCGGTTTTGAAGATAGGACTCTGTGTCTTATGCTATGATGCTAACAGTCTAGCCCTCTGTATGTGAATGATGGAGTTCATTTGGTTCAGGGGCTGTTCTGAACTGAATCACTTCCTAAAGTAGTGTGGGGTGGCAGATTTTATCCACTGGGACTTAGGGAGGTGGGCTTACCTCTCTTCTTTAACTTGCTGTTCTGAAGGTGGCATGGAGCTCACTCCCTAGACTTAAGGGCTCCTTGTCTGTCAAGAGTAACATTAACGTCTTCGTCAGTAGAAACTATACAGTAAGAAGAAGCCAAAGCCTAGAGCAAACCTCTATCTCCAAAAAATATTGCAGCAAAATTACAGTCATGATGTAGCAACAAAAACAATTTTATGGTTGGGATCACCATGACTGGAGGACCTGTGTTAAAGGGTTGCAACATTGGGGAAGCTGAGAATCATTGACCTGAAGGACTGTGGGAAGATGGCCTTTCCCAGCCCCTGGCAATCTGTCTGATATGATAGCCAATACAAGCTCACCTTGGCTTAAACGTAAGCAGGACAAGTTTGCAAAGAGCATTGCTGGGAGTGGATAGGGCTGGGAGGGCTCCGGTTTGTCATCACAGTTTTATAGAACTGCAGGCTAGCAGGCCTGAGAAGGCCAGATAGAAGTGCAGGCATCATGGGATGAATGCTGTTTTAGCAAGTGAGTTCCCAGCTTCTGAGAGTATAGGAAACGAAGCCCCAAGCTCGCTCCTGAGCTGCTGAAGTTCTGCATCTTTTGAGAGAAGTGGTGTTCAAAACCAGCCTAACTCCCCAATTCAAGAGTTTAGCCAAGCACTTGTTATTGCCTCCTTAAGAAGAAAAGTTTATTTTAATTAAGTGTGGATACAGCTGTTAGAAGTGAAGACTCCTCTGTGGCAGGCAGGGCATATGCAGCTGGTAAACGCCGCTACTTCCCCAGTCCAGCAGAGGGCGAAAGGGAGTTTTAGCTTACTACACTCCCACTTCCCAACCCCTAGGGATGTGTACACCAAGTGCAAGGGCCACAGCGTCTCCAGGCCAGCAGAAGAAGGGAGCTTTTTAGTTAATATTTCACACAAGTCTACTTTAAGAAAAGAAAAAAGCTGTTAGACTCCAACGCAGAGTTTGTAACATACTTTGAAATCAGAGAGCTCAATCTGATCCTTTTATGACTAAATCCTGGGGTTTTCCATTACAAAAAGTGGAGGTTGATATTAAAACACGGTAACAACCGCGTTGGGGTTTTTTTATCTACCTGTTGCTAATTTGGCTTTCTTCATATTGAAAGGAAGATAACATTTCTCTGTGTGGTTTTCAGGGTAGCCCATGCTTGCCTGGGTAGGATGAGGTATCACAATTGGGGGTCCTCAACCTGTGCTTGCCTGGGTAGGGGCAGTGTCATGGCTGGGGATCCTCAGCCTGTGCTTGCCTGGGTAGGTTGCCATGCCACAGCTGGGGAACCTCAGAAGTAACCTCTGAGATAGAGTTAGGGATATTTACTGAAGAACATTTCCAGCATCTGTACTCCTGGATGGGAGCCAGGAAGGGCAGGTAGAAGGGAAGACACAGCTCAGTCCCAGAGTGCTTTTCCTGACGTCAGCCTCCTGACTTGAGTGTGAGCAGAGGAGTCCACCTGCCACCCCAATGATGGGAAACAAACTGTTTCTGGTGATTGACAGAGTGAAATTTAATAAAACCACCAATTTTCTTCATCAGTGATTCTTGTTCTTTAAAAATTGTTAGCGTATTTATTGTACGAAACAGTGGGTTTCATTATGATCTTTCCATACACACGCTTATACATATATGTGTATATGTGTGTGTGTGTGTGTATAAACCACTCTCCTTGCTCTTTTTTTCCTCCTTTCCCCTCTTCCTCTGACCTGTTTATTTCCAAATCATGAAGGATTTTCTTAAGTGAAATTGGATTTTTGCTTGTTTATTACTTTATGCATGTGCTTGTAATGCTGGGACCCAAACCCAGGGTCTTGCACATGCTTAGGCAAAGCCTCTCCCCCTGAGCTACATCCCCAGCCTTCAGTTTATTACTGTTCGTAGAAATAGCACACACCAGGGAGAAAGAACCGTTACCCCCTGTGATGTTTCAGAACACTGCCTTGACTTACCCACAAAGTCACCATAGCCACACACACCATGCTTTGGTAAACTCTGAGCAGGTGCCAGGAGGAGAGGTCAGGCGATGAGGTAGAGGTAGGAACACGTTGTCCTTTGAAAGTCTCTGCAGTCACACTGAGAACTGTGCATGCTGGGGGAAGGACTGGGTAAGTGAGACTGTCTTGGCAAAACCGGAGGCTGACTTCACGTGATGGCGTCAGTGTGGAGAACAGGGACAGTGGCGAGAAACACGGGATGAGATGAGATGGGGTTGAGTTTTGGCAGTGCAAGGTCAAGAGGATTGGAGCGTATGGTAGCTCTAAACCTGAACGACTGAGCAGGTTCCTCAGGGAAATGGCTAGGGAAGAGGAGGCCTGGGTGGTGGCCAAGTGGTATTCCTGCTCATGCTGATGGTCCCACAGAGCCCTTCCACCTGGGAAAGGGCAGGCCCTCAGCAGTGTTGGTAGCTGAGTCTGTGCAGCGCCTGAGGTCTGGTTTGGCTCCCATGTGTTTCACGGAGGTCGGAGCTTTTTCCTGTTAACGCATCTTAGCCGTGTGCTTCCTGTAATAGTCTTTTTCTCTTTTTGTTCCTAGGAATGGTGCAAAAGCTAGATCAGAAACTTCCGGTGGCTAACGAGTACCTGTTGCTCTCCGGAGGAGTCCGAGAAGGTGTGGTGGACCTGGACCTGGATGAGCTGAATGTCTATGCCCGGGGTACTGACTACGACATGGACTTTACCCTCCTGGTGCCAGCCCTTAAGCTGCATGACCGCAATCAGCCTGTGACCCTTGATATGCGCCACTCAGCCCTGTGCCACTCGTGGCTGAGCCTCCGGCTCTTTGATGAGGGGACGATCAGTAAGTGGAAAGATTGCTGCACAATCGCCGATCACATCAACGGGGCCACCAACTACTTCTTCTCGCCCACCAAAGTGGCTGACTGGTTCTATGACTCCATCAGCATTGTCCTCTCAGAGATACAGAAGAAACCCCAGCGAGGGATGCCAAAGGTGGAGAAGGTGGAAAAAAACGGGACCATCATCTCCATCATCCTGGGCGTGGGGAGCAGTCGCATGTTGTACGACATCGTCCCCGTGGTGTCCTTCAAAGGCTGGCCCGCGGTGGCCCAGAGCTGGCTTATGGAGAACCACTTCTGGGATGGGAAGATTACTGAGGAAGAGGTCATCAGTGGCTTTTACTTGGTGCCAGCTTGCTCCTACAAGGGTAAGAAGGACAATGAGTGGCGTCTGTCCTTTGCCAGGAGCGAGGTGCAGCTGAAGAAGTGCATCTCGGGAAGTCTCATGCAAGCCTACCAGGCCTGCAAAGCCATCATCATCAAACTCCTGTCAAGGCCCAAGGCTATCAGCCCCTACCACCTGCGGAGCATGATGCTCTGGGCCTGTGACCGACTCCCAGCCAGCTACCTGGCTCAGGAAGACTATGCAGCCCACTTTCTGCTGGGTCTCATTGACGACCTGCAGCACTGTCTGGTCAACAAGATGTGCCCTAATTATTTCATCCCACAGTGCAACATGCTGGAGCACCTGTCAGAGGAGACGGTCATGCTCCACGCCCGGAAGCTGTCCTCCGTGCGCTCCGATCCGGCCGAGCACCTGCGCACCGCCATCGAGCACGTGAAGGCAGCCAACCGGCTGACCCTGAAGCTGCAGCGGCGGGGCAGCACCACCAGCATCCCCTCCCCGCAGTCGGACGGAGGGGACCCCAATCAGCCTGATGACCGCCTGGCCAAAAAACTGCAGCAGCTCGTGACTGAGAATCCGGGGAAGTCCATCTCGGTCTTTATTAACCCCGATGACGTCACGAGGCCCCATTTCAGAATCGACGATAAATTTTTCTGAGTGACTTGACCTTTTTTTCTTCTTCCTCTTGGTTCTAAGACTTCCGTAACGTGTAGCGTGGTTTGTGATATTGTCATTCTGTTTTTACATATCCAGCTTACATTGGATTTGTTAAGGACACGTTTTTAAGTTTCCTGGTTCTGCAGGATGGTGCAGGCTCTGAAACAGTATTAGTACTATTTCATATTCTGCCTGATTTTTGCTGTTTGTTTTCTAGTTATTGTCACATGGTTTTTGTTGTTGTTGTTTTTTATGATGTCATTTTTAAGGAGAACTTGAGCCATATAGACGACACTGCCCATGAATCCTCGTTCTTGCTTTCTGCCTCACACTCGGTGTGGATCTGTTGGCGGATTTGAGGGAACGCATTTCCTTCTTGCATATTCGAACCCTTTCTCCGCTTTTGTTCTCTTTTTGACCTTGTTCTTCGCCTGAGTTTTCACTGAGATGGGTATCTGCGAGTCCTAAGAACCTGGAGGCCCTGTGCATGCTGGCTGAGTTTCTTTCTTTGATCAGAAGAGTTTCCCGTTTCTACCGGATCGGAAACTTTCGAGAGAGAACGATGCACATTGTGTTTCCGAGCAACCTCATTGAATGTAATTGTCCTCGAATCAGCAAACATTGGATGGTTTGGAGGGAGGATTTGATAGCTTTCCAAACAGAATTAAGGTTTCCAAATGTTAGTTTTAGTGTTTGTAATTATTTGAAGCCTTATTTAAATCCTATTAAGGAGCACACCATTCTAATTGTTATTTGCACTAATGAAGTCTTCTCCATTGTCATAGCTGCAGTGTGTGTTTCAGTGTACATTAACATCCTTTCCGGAAACGTCGTCGCTTTTCATTTCGTCCAGTTCTCTGGGTCGATAGAATGAGTCTCTGCGTTTGTCTAGTTCTCCTTTAATTGTGGGTCCCATTTTACCCTCCTTGGTAGATCTGGTTCCTGCCTTACCGAGGGAAGTTTTTGATGCTTTATACCTGTTCACCGACTAGCTAGAGCTTGGGAAGATAATACTTGACAAAGTGGGTGTCTTTGTATTTATTTCTTTGGGGGTTCTAGAGATTTTTCTCTTCCCCTCTCCTTTTTAAAAGTCTCTTTTATTTCTCCTGAGACCTTGCTGGAAACTGACAGGCAGAATTATCCCCGAATTGAAGATACCATGCCTGTTCAAAGCAGGTTTCCCTGTAGAGCAGGAACCAGGAAATACCTAAATGGCTGTGTTGGAATAAAGGAGTCCTATATTCTGACTGAAAAGATTTACCAGATTTAGGTGCTGCGAGGCGTTGGCCTCTGTTTTTGTGTGACCCGAAGGCAGACGGTGCCTGAGTTATTAGGCCTGCTGATCGAGACAGCCCATGATGTCTGCTAATGGAAAAGTCAATCAATACGGTGGCTTTTGGTCTTGAACGTCCAGACTCACAGGTTGGATTTTGGCCATTTGGAATCAGACATATGTGGTCTTGGAGTTTTGCATGGGAATTAATGTAATATGCTTATAAATCAACAATCTCAAGTCAAACACAAAAATAAAAAAGAAACTCCTGGCCTTGGAATCTTGTTGTCATTATTGCTTTGTAATCTCAAAGTTTGTCTCCCTCTTCTCTCCCCCCACGTGTTTCCTCCCATTTTCACTAAGACGCCCCTTCTTTTTAGCCTGGAACACTAGATCTTTCAGCCTGAGCTCTCAGTGCTAGGATATCCATTATGTATCCCCACACCCAGGTTGAAATGGTTTTCGTCTTAGCAGTGAAGTGGTGGTCAGGAAGTACAGCCCCTGCCTTAGTCTAGAAGAAGTCTACATAGTGAGACGCCTGTGTTCTTTCCTCCCATGTTCCGAGTGGTATACACTTACCTTCCACACAAATATTAAACATCATTAAGTCTCATTAGAGAGCTGGTTCCTGATTGGAAAAGCCAGTGGATACAAACCAACATTTCTTTAGTCTCAAACATGAAGGCGTGCCATCCAATCCCAGTTCTTCCATCCGGGGATGTACCCTGTGGAGAGCCAGGACAGAAGCACATATTCCTCCCAGATACGGAGGAGGAAGCATTTGATTTATGTTGGTACTGACAGGTATCACCCTGTCGTGGCACCTGACGTCGGATAGCACTGTAGGAAATGGATTGGAACCTTGAACCCAAGGCCTCTTCTCTTATGTGGTCTTATGATGGAGGTGGGTCTTGTATCTTATCTGTTGCTTTCATTGGTTAATAACAAAGAAACTGCCTCGGCCCTCATAGGACAGAAAATTAGGTAGGTGGAGTAAACAGAAGAGAATGCAGGGAAAAAGAAGCTGAATCAGGGAGTCGCCATGATTCCCCGCTCCAGACAGACGCAGGTTAAGATCCTCCGTGGTAAGCCACCTCGTGGGCTACACAGACTATTAGAAATGGGTTAGAACAATATGTAAGAGCTAGCCAATAAGAAACTGAAACTAGCCGGGCCAGAGAGTGTTTAAAAAGATACAGTTTCCGTGTAATTATTTCGGGGCTTAACCTAGCCATGCGGGCGACCGGGTGCCTGGGACGCAGCACTGCCGCTCCTACTTCAACAGTCTTCCTCATTGCCAGTATTTTAATCAGTTTTGAGTTGGGTTCATTTCGTCACTATATTTAGTCAAATGCGCCAAGCTGAGCCTTATTGGATGGTGTGTGTCCCTTTCTTTCTGGGATAGCTATGAAGGATTCATACCCTTGTATCTGTGTATTTAGAGCTGGCATGTGCCGATTTCATTGATATCTATCATAGTCTATCTACTTTAGCCATTCTGTTACATTGGATAGGTTCAAACAAAAGTCAGGTATACAGTTGACGTGGGCAAATATATTCCCAAACCATTGCTCTAAAGTCTATTGTACTGTGAGACCATACCCAGAACCAACATCTCATGTGCAATTAGCTTCATCTGAAATGCTTTTACATAAAGGCTTTCAGATATTTCATTACAGGCATCATAAGGTTTTGGCACATTCTGATCTTTCCCCCTTTGCCACATCTAGTCATAGTGGCGATCCCAATATTTAAATATCACACAGAAAAGAGCAAAGACCTCTGGGTGTTGGTAATTTTAGCACCCATTGTTTAATCTCCAGAATTCCTGTCCAGGCCACAAACCTGAGACTCTGAGGTCAAAGGTAAGTGTATGGACTGTTGCTTAATAACCTTTTTCTTAAACATATTCCATTGAGTACCCACCAGGCTGCCATTCTGCAGCCTGGAGGAATGCTTTATCTCATTTGTATTTCAAATAAAATGCAAAGTCCTTAAGGCTGGAGCCATACTTCTATTACATGTGGCTGATACTGTTTTTAATTGGAGACATTTACAAGTTATTACTCAACAGGCTTTTAGCTCTTTAATGGGGCAGGGTCTTGCTTATATCAAGAGTAGATTTTTCTCTGCCTTTTGCCTCTGAAGTGGAGGATCTACAGATGCAAGTAAAAGTTGGTTTCAGAGGTAGTGGGGCCACTCGAGTTTAAACCCTTTAAAGGCTAGTCTATTCTTAAAGTTAATCGAAAACATGGAACTACATGGCTAAGTTTGCTTTGGGGTAGAGGTATGAGGAGAATGGAGGAGGCCTCCAGGCCTAGTGTGAGAGCCAACACTCCCATGTCACCCTGTGCACACTCAGGTATTCTTTCCTGTCACCAACGGGACATTTCTTCGGACTGACCTTGTAACACCTTCTCCATTGTTGGCTATTTGGTTCAGATAATTACATTGCTGTGAGAAGTTCCCCCTCCCCCGTTTTTTAAAAAAAAGTTCAGCTTTTTTAAATTATTAAAATGTTACATTATGTATGTGTGCATGTGTTTGCACATGCATGTGCAGGTATCTATGGTCAGAGGCACTGGAGCTGAAGATAACAAACATGCAGTTGTGAGTCACCTGATGTGTGAGTCACCTGATGTGGCTGCTGGGGTCTGACCTTGTGTCTTAGGGTTTTTATTGCTATGAAGAGACACAATGACCATGGCAACTCTTACAAAGGAAAACATTTCATTGGGAGAGGTTTAGTCCATTATTGTCATGGCAGAAAACATGGCAGCACACACGCAGACACAGCGCTGGAGAGGTAGCTGAGAGTTCTACATCTGAGACAGCAGGAAGAGAACAAGACCACACTCTGTTCTTCAGAAAGAGCAGGAAGTGCCCTTCACCACTGGACCAGCTCTCTACCACTCCCAACGTGGAAGGTGTCTGTGTGTGTTACAAAATTGTTAAAAGAGTTAAAGAGGCCACAGAGTTCAGAGACTCCCAAAAATGCCTCACCAAGAAGCAGAAACATGATCCTGATAGGGATGTAAGACAGATTTCATGGGAATAGGGGAGATCAGATCACTAACCCTGGTGGGGGAGCTCCTGCTGATGCTGTCAGATCCAGCCATGGGGCCAGAACTGAGTCTCAGACTTGAGTTTAGGCTACAGAAGAGAGCACCTACGGAGGCTGTAAAGGGGAAAGACAAGGCAGGGTCCAATTGGATGAATTTGAGGGTGGACAAGCGGCAACTTGAGTAGGCTGTATCAGTAGTGGGGGCTGAGCAGAGCTGAAGCTGGGACAGATGGGAGATCTGTGAGCCCCTTGAAGCACATACCAAGTGTTGACAGATCAGTTGGGTCCTTCACCATCATGGTGTGGAGTGTCCTTTGGGGTCTGGATGAGAGAGGTGGAGCCTTTTTTTTGGTCTGGTGTTTTCAATACATTCTCAGGCCTTGTTTCACTGACAGAATTTTAATGTGCCCATGCACCCTTCCCTCGAGTGCTACCGTGAGAAGTTTATAGTTGTACTACTTTCACTCTTAAAAATAAGTTTTCTTACCATCCTGTGCCTCTTGGGTGGTGCTGGAGGGTATTCGTGTATTGATGGTGCAGAGTCGCCCTGCCTCTGCATATGCACTTAAAATGGAGCCACCTAGGGCAAGGCACAGCCTGATCAAGCAGCATTTTATACCATACTATAGAGTAGCACAGCCCAACAGCCAGTCACCTGGAAGGATGACGGTCTAGCTATTTGGCATTCTTGCATCCCCTCAGTGTGCTCACTATTAAGGAACTAAAAGATTTTATACTCCCCATAGCAAGTTAGAGGCCAGCTTTTTCTGTATGAGGCCCTTTCTCGAGACAACTAGAGCTGCACAACAAAGGACCCATTATTACACAGAGACCCTTAAAGACATAATTCATCTAACTTGGGACAGCATCTCAGATAAGCACTTGTTATCTGGGTTACCACCTCTCTGTCTAGGATCCATGGCCTGTTACTGGAGCATTAGTAAGGATTCAGTTTCCTTTGATGTAAACTCTATCACATAATTAAGGAAAAGAGGGTTAAATGTGAGAGCATAAAATAAACCATAAGATTTCATTTTGCTTTCATGTCTGTAAAACAGAGGATTTGAGATTCTATTTTCCTCCTCACTGGCTTTTATTAGCTGGCTTAAATTGCCTCAGTCTCTAAAAAAAAATCTCAATTTTAGATCTATAAACCCACTTCTTTAAAAGCTTGAAATCTTCATGTTCCCAGCACTTTTTAAAAAAAAAAATTAAGAATCTCATTAAGTTTTAGCAATATGTCCAGTGGGCAGCACAGGCACCTCCAGCACACCTGTTATGGAAGTTCTTTGTAGATAAAAGTTTCTGCCCTGCCAGGTCCCACAGCCGTTCAGTCCCAAAGAAACACTCAGAGGCTTATGTTAATTATAACCTGCTTGGTTATTAGCTCAGGCTTATTAACTAGCTCTTACAACTTAACCCATAATTCTTGTCTATGTTACCTTTTCTCAGTGAGGCATTCTCATCTTGCTTGCTCTGCATCTGGCTGGTAACCGACTCTGCAATTCTGCTTCCCAGAATTCTCCTAGTCTGGTCGCCCTGCCTATTTTCCTGCCTGGCTTCTGGCCAATCAGGATTTTGTTAAGCCAACACAAGTGACAAATCTTTACAGTGTACAAGAGCATTCCCCCACAGCAGTTCTTGTCTGAGCCTGTTTCATCGTCCCAAAATCTGAACACTGTACATCTCAATATTAAGTCAAATTAGGTAGCTTATTCAAGTTTACAGATAATTAAGTACGTGGAAGAGTCAGGGCTTAGATTCATTTGTCTTTTTCATAAATTCAAAAGTTTTGGGGCCAAGGAGAAGGCTCAGTGGTTAAGAGCATGTACTGCTCTTATAGAGGACCAGAGTTCAGTGTCTGCTACCAACATTGGGCAGTTCATGACTGCCTGTAATGCCAGCTCCAGGGAATCAGTACCTCTTGCTACCTCAGATCTTCACTATGAACACATAACTACCCCTCTCCACACACATAGACATAACTGAAAATAATAAATCTTTCTAAAAAGAAATTTAAAACTTCCTATGTATGATGTCTCTGGGGTTTTAATCTAGTCTTACTATTTAGCACACACTCGCTTAATATAATGCATAGGGACCTGCATTCGGATAGCATACGTCTTAGGCAAACTTTGAGAGTGTTTTCATCAGCAGAACAGATGGGTCTCTGGAGAAATGTATCACTGAATGATCCAAGGAGAAGAAAAATAACC